AAAAAAAATTTGAAGATTGTTAGTTCGTTAATAACTCCCTTTTCATGTCCTTCGCCGAGCTTGAGGCACCCTTCTGTAGAGAGAGGTTCAACTTAGATTTTTACTATGAAACAAATCATCGATCTCTCTTCATTACTGTAGCAACTTCGACAAAAATTTTAAGCCATTGGAGGCCATATTCTGCCTCGGAAGCCAAAAACTCTTACACTATGGTGATGGAACCGCTGATTTCGAATAGGAATTTTCCACACTGTGATGCTTCTTTCCAAATTATCCCTGGTAAACCGTTATAAGTGTTTGTCACTGTCAGCATTTGTCAGAAATGTGATTGCAGGTCAAAAAAGCAGAAAACATTCGCAAAAGTTGTGTAGTGGAATCAGCGTGCGTGAAAACCTTAGTACACGATTTTTCAGATCTTTTGAAAGAAATTTTGTCAGATGGCATTTTTCACAGTGATTCCACATGCTGGAAGTTCTTACCGTAATCCTACAGTAACGAAGATTGTAAATCCAATTTGAACCTCGCTCTACAGAATGGGCCAAGCTCGGGGAAAGACATGAAAGCAAGAGAGTTGTTAACGATCAAACAGCGTTCACACTTTTTGGGACACCCTGTATAACAAGCCTTGCGTGTAATTCCGAGACATAAGAAGCATGAACATGGATTAACACTTGGATGCAAGACCTTCTTTTTTAACTGGCTAATCACACTATCTTCAGAAGATCAAAACATCATCAATCAAAGGAGTGTACTACGCTGAGCAAAATCTTTCCACACAACGTTTCAAGGTCAAAGGTTGGGGAATGTCACTGAGCCCATGTTGGTGGGCTTGTGATTTACGAAGGTTTCTAGGCTATCATTTTGTTTTTGAGATGATACCAAGTTGATGTTTCCTTTTTCCAGGTGTTGGCACCCTTCCACCGGTCCCGTACATTACAACATTGTGATTGACTGTGACGAAACCCTATACAAAGGCTTCACTGCCATAGAGCTGCAGAATTTGCTTTCTCAGCTTCGATTAGTAGCACAGCAAGCTGTTTTTATCAATGAACTACCATTTTGAAGTCTACCTCTTCTTTCATATAATAAACACTTTCCTTCTAACACATCTTCATATCTACTGTCGAAGTGGTGTAGAAATTTTTCAAAATAAATGAGAGAGTGTAATGTAAATCAGAGAACTCGAAGTTTTAGGGTTTG